CATACATACAATTGTTTGTAGAAAACCGTTGGAAATTTTCAGCAATCGCAGAAAGAATCCAAATTCGCGCAAGAGGCTGTGCACTTATCGTTCATCCATTTTGTGGCACAGCTAGTTATGTAACCACTTTCATGAAAAAATGTAATGGGCGAGCGTTAGCTCTCTTTAGGTCAGGTTGCGCCCGATTGCAATTGAAGTAGAGCGCTATAACAATATACCGGTTGGTAATAACAGTATAGAGAATGAATTACAATTGCTTTACTGAATGTCCTATATACAACGATTTCAAATCCCACCTGTACGATTATATTGTTGAAATCAACCCATCCTTTGCAGATTTAAACTCTAATGACAAATTAAATTTTTTAATGATCGATGGCAACTACTGTTATAGGGTAGCAAAGTTTGCTTACCAAATCCTCTCCTTACGGCAGTCTATTGTGCTTAAGTAAATCATATTTTAAGAAATGTTTGTATATTTTGTTTTAAAACATTTTTAATAGTGTTTTTGCATGTGTTTTAAAAATGTCCTGTATTTCACTCAAAAGCCAGAATTGGCTGGTCTCTGTTTTAATCTGAGATTGTGAAACAAATAAATAAAGAACTAACTACATACATACATATATATATATATACATATATATATATATAATATATATATATATACATGTGTATATATATATTCAATTCAATTTAATTATTCAATTGTATGTAACTATATAATTATATATTTACATACAATTATTCAATTGTATGTAAATATAATTATATATTTACATACAATTATTCAATTGTATGTAACTATATATACATATAAATATATATATATATATATAGGCATATATATTTGTATACTATATGTTTGTGATGTGTGTGTATTATATATATATATATATATATATATATATATATATACATATATGTATTTGTTTTTTCATTTTCATATTTTATTTATATCCCTTAAAACATTGATAGGGCCCTATTTTCCTTTTACTCAAGCGTTATTGTTTCATTGTATAGTATATGTTTTTTTTTTCATTCTTATAATTTAAATTCAAATAACTTTAAATGTACTATGCTTTTTATTGCATACGTTTTGCTAAGGCCCTCCCTCTCTATTTTTAACAAGCCCCTTAGGGCTTCCTGTCAGGGTTTCTTTTTTGTCATCACCAGTCGACGATTTTACTTCTGTTTGTAACTTGTGATTATTTTGACAAATAAAGAATTGTTGTATTTATCGTATTTAATTCGGGCGCATTTATCATACTATATCCACAGTGGCAATTATTGGTTATTATCATTTGATATTTCTTATGCAAGCAGCAAGATTATCCCAATTTCTCGCAATAACAATTAGGCATGTATAATCTATTTACTTCATGAACTGACGTCACAATAAGGTAACTTGATCTTGAAAACATACAGCGATGACATGTGTACATCATACTATTATACTACAAACAGAAGAAAATCGAACAAAATAGCGCCGGGAAGACTCAATTGGCGGTTACACAGACTGAAATCAAGCTCAAAATACTTATAATCGAGCAATCGTGAGGTTGTAAGTAATACAGTGACTCATGGCACAATTTAAATTCATTGCTGCATGAGTCACATTTTCAATGAAGATTAACACATAAATTGTGTATCTGTCATTGTCAAAGTGTCGTACACCTAGGCAGGAAATTGACCGACTCAACATGGACACTATCTGTGTAAGCAAACGCAATGAAAAAGGCGCCCCCCAGCGTTCTAAATTGACACGCACCTTTTAGCACGGTTACACTGGTGAACTTCATTAGATTTACTCAACTAGAACAAATAAATAGGCCTATACTTAAGATTACAGCTAGTGAAAAAATGAAAAATTATAAAACAAATATAACAAAATGAAATTATTTTCTTCTATGATATCTAGGGCTATTTAGTACTGTGGTTTAATTTGACAAAACTATTCGATCACATTTATAATACTATGAGTCAGAAGGGATCTCATTTTAGTTTATGTGTAACCAAGAGATGCATTACGCATGCTCAGAAGAGGGACACGGAGCACGCATACAGACATTGAGTATCACATACGCGCCGTATTATAATTGCCTACAAAGAAATGATATTCTTACGACTCATTATTCGACCATCTCCTTTACCAACAGCAGTGTGAAATGAATTTTAGAATCTGACCTTGTAATATTTACGCATATAAAACCATGACAAGGTCATTGTACTTTGTAAATCACAGGCTCGAGTTCATACAATTGCTCGTCAATATATCAATGTATATAATTATATAAAATTATCAAAAGATTTTCCGTATGCAGTGATCGCCTACAATATAAAGAACAGAATGAAGCAATATTCAGGATATATTTAGCATTATTACTCAAATCTTACATTACACACGTCTCAGATGGCCGCCCATAGATAACGATGTAGGCTATATTTGATATATTTTCCATAAAGAATGTAAAATTTTATCGTAATGTGTCCGTTTTTATCATTATTTTAGTTTCGTCTTGCACATTGAAGTTTATGTTTTTCATTATATCATAATGATCGCTGCTATTTGCAATGCATTAACAATTAGCTTTGTTCCACGCATACAACTTACAAGAGCGTGACACTTTCAGTTGCATCTATTATTTGTATTCCCAACGAAGCCCAAGTGGAACCGGGTTCTAGTCCCGATGGGGACAACATTTTTTTTTTCACACGGACAGATTCCTCTTTTTTTAAATGCCCATAAAGTAGGCCTATATAACATTCATGAGAAGATGGCTTAAGATCTCTACATTTACAGAATGACTTTTCTTTATATAATATATATATATATGTATATATATATGCTGTCTCTTATACACATCTGCTTGTCTCTTATACACATCTAGATGTGTATAAGAGACAGGTGTATATATATAACTATTTTTTCGTGATACCATCATGCCATTAAAATACTTTGGATTAGGCGTATCATATTGACCTCTGTTATTCGCAATGCATCTATAGCTAGCGTTGTTCCTCGCATGTGCAAAAGCATGAAAATAAATACATTAATGTATTGGTATTAGTCACAACAATTCCGCAGGCGTTGCGTAATGTAAGACGTACAACTATGCTAATTTGTGTTTAACTGTACTTGGCAATGATAAACATGGCGCCACAATCGTTAAGCCTATCATTTAAAAAGTTTACATTATGTAAAAGGCATATTTCGGAACACACCAGCACAATGTCAGTGATTGACTATAATTTATTAAAGCGATGGATTTATTCGGTGTAAACATCAAGGGTGAGTCCCCGAAAGTCTGAAGAAGACTTATTTCCAGTGCTGGGGCAGATGCTGGATTCGGCGGTTCTGGCAGGGGTGAGAAAATTTTGAGAATAGGGACCTCCAGATGCACGGAAATTGCACTCTCATACATTAAAAATCTTACCAGTAATTCATATCAACAATACAATACAAAAATTATTTTTCTTAATACAATCTAGTGGGGTGCGATCACACCGTCTGCATCCCCGACCCCCTCCACCCCAGCAGTGGGGTCTTTCTGGGTGGTGATTGGGCAGTACACCGGGAGACAATCCCCCTACTCTTTTCCGAATAGTGTACTGCATTCTTTAATGGGCCATAATACACACGGGACCCACTGCTTAAACGTCTCATCCGAAAGACGGTGCACTATCGTAACTTGCATTTCAGCCCTCCAGCTAAAACACAAGGAGAGCATGAGCGATGGAAATGATTGAACCGGGGATCTCCACGGTTCAGCGCACACACAGTGGCCCCACCAGTTTAGCTGACTGAGCGATAATGTGTATTATTTTAAGTCGCTAAGTCATATAGCGATCGTGTAGAGGTCTACTGGCAGTCGTAACAAGTTTCGCTTTTCACTGACGACACGTGTTTTAATAAATTGAACCACAAATAATGTACTTTTCGTAGTCTCGTTTGCAAGCAATACAAAATAACAGAATGTATCTTATAATTGTATGTGTATGTATATGTATAACAATGAATGTATACATTTCAATTGGATAAATAAAGTAGCTTACATTAGTTATTATTATTATTATTATTATTATTATTTGTAATGTAAGTTTGGCGCATTATATAGGCCTAAACCTTATAAATATATTGACTTCAGTTAGCATTACCGTTCTTCTACTGGCAGTGCTAACTGCACTGCCAGTAAACTTTCACGGGGTTTTATGTGCTCGAGTTGTGTCTCTGCTGCGCATCGGAAAAACGCGTTACGCAAACCTTTAGTGCTTTTTGACTTTGAAAAATCTTAGTTCAGCCTTTAGAATGTGACTTAGACCTACTTGTACGTGCGTAATGACAGCGAAAATCGTCGATTAGCTGGTCTATAAACGTCAAATTAAGCTATCATGGCAGAAATAGCTCGGCCATTTGACCTGTGAAAACAGGGACAGTGAATATTACGCATACGTTTGACACGAGGCTAAGAAAAACATACGGTTGTGTATATTTTCTGTCATATTAAATCTCAGCATAATAACGAATGGATTTGGCATAGCGTAATTGACAATGAAACGCTCGAACAGATTGTTAACCTAAGTAAAGCAGCCTAAAGGCAAGATGGAGCCACCTAAGTGTATATACTGTGATTTTTTTTTCTGAACCTTCATTCTGTCAGTCAGATAATGTTGAATTAAGACGGTTATAAAACTCGTGAATAATTGAATGTACTAAGCAGCAGTGCGTTGGTCAAATTATTCCTCCATGGTCAAATAGGATGGGCGAAACCGGGAGGCCAGTAGGCCCGCCCCCAACCCACATTTTGGCAGAAAATATATAATTTATATGCAGATTTTTGTATGTTAGGAAAGAAATGCAAGAAAAGAAAGAGGGGAGGAGGAGAGGGAGGGAAAGAGAGTGTTTATGCAGTCCCCGACCGAGTTATTTCTCGCAATTCTCTTCTCACTTTTTATTTTTTATTTAGAAAAGCGCTGCAGGGATGACACTTTCTTTAATCATAAACATTTCTTTCTTTATATGCATTAACACAATGTTTTCTGATCAGTCACAGTTTAGGCCTAGGCCTACCTATTCATGCGGGACTTCAGGTCTCCCTTCTGTTTGGACCCCTCCGATCAGGGATTGTTGGAATTGGAGGCCGCCGGATTTGGCCGGTTTTCGTCATGTAGCGGTGCGTGATTGAAGCCCTCTACTTTGGGATCACTTCCCCTTTACCAAACGTTTCCACTGCGGCTTCTGAACATGCTTCCATTCTACAAATATTGTTTTTGTTGAATAAGACTAACAAATAATGATTACTCATCAAAAACCAATGTACCGATGTTAGCTGGGCCAACACTAGGCCGTACGACAATCGACCGACGAATCTGTCTCCGCACTCTGCTCTCTGTGAGCGCTTAACGACGCGATGCCGTCAACTGATTGTTGATTACAGTCGTTTCAACGGATGGTCATCATTAAAAACGATCCGTTGGGTGCACCTCGTTGCATCGTTCTTCGTGGAAACGCCTCATCTGACTACCATCGGAGAATTGTTGTTATTAGCACAAAAGACCAGGCTACATGATCAGCCATCATTATCACCTAAAGAATGATTGTGGTAATGAATTGATAATGGACGACGATAATTATCATCTTATTATCATAATAACTATCGCCATTAGGCCAAAAAATTGTTCATTTGCCCTCTTCACCTGTCCTAACTCACTGAGCAAAATAGGGGCGGAAAAGTAAAAAAAAATCTTTAAATAGAGGTTTTTAGTTTTTTTGTTAGAAATAAAAAACAATGTGAGTGAATTCGAATCTTGAGCTTTTTCCACCCGCTCTTTTCTATCATTAAAAAAAATATATATATCTTTTAGGCCTTATCTTCAATACCATAATCATCATCTTTTTTGATGTGTCTATTTTAATTATTTTTAATGCAATAATTAATTGTAAATCATTATTAATATTGCAATATTGACTTTTTTATTAATTATATTTGTTTAATTAATTGTGTAAATGTTGACCTATGTATGTAAACATTTAAAAAATAAATACATTTACAGTGAATTATTTTTAATGAAATGATTCACTGTAAATTATAGTTAAACTGCAATATTGACTTTGTATTAATTGTATTTTTAATAGTTGTGTAAAATGTTGACCTATAAGCTTATGTATAATTAGGTCCTTCTCCAGTTTTTTTTATATAAAATATTCGTTTTTCTTCATTATTTGTTGTCGTTTTATTGACATTTTTTAATTAACAAAATTATACAAAATGATAACTCTATTAACAATTTTATTATGAGGCTACATTCCTTTAATTAGTTGTCAGTTTGATGCAAATATAAGCATATGCCTATGATCAATTAAATAACGTTTCCTAGAATTACGGTACCACTAGTAGAATATGTCCTAGCGGAGTGAACCTATCCCATTTAGTATTCATTTGCCTTTTATGTTACTAAATATTGTACGCGTCTAGACACTGATATGAATATGATATGAATATCTGCTGTTCATGTTAATACCATTTCCAAGAAACAAGTTGAAGAGTCGAAATACACAGCGCCATAAATGCAAAGTTAACAATGACAATGCTATACCGATTCTGACTGTTAATCAACTTCAGTTTACATTAATCAGCACTTTCCTAATCGCTACAAAACTATATTTTTAGAATAAGATTAAACGTAATGAAACTATTCACTAAATATATTGATCATTTCAGCTCTCGGCCTCGTCCTTTCGATGGCCTTTTGTTTCCATGGTAAAGCATTTATGATGAATATTGGAAGCTGCTAAATGTCATGACCAGTGACGTCAATCGAGATACTGAACCAGCAAATATATTATTATTATTATATTTACATATATATTATTTATTTTATTCATATTTTGTTATCGACTACAAAAAGCATGCTCCGTTGTAGCTTAGTAAGCACGTTGGCGGTGTATGATATCCTAATGACCTAAACAATCATCAATTTTCTTTCTATGTTGAATATCGTTGCAAAAGCGATAGGCCTATTTTTGCGTAGTGTTGGCTCGCATAAGTTGACGCATTGTGATTTTCGAGTCAGTCCATCAATGCCAGCTGAAAACTCAAACATCCTGGCCATTCCATTTTGAAAATTATACACGCTTACTAAGCTAATTTCAGCTGAGCGCCGCAAAATAAAATCATCTAGGCCTACACTCGCTGAAAATGATAAGCCTTCTGCGACAGGCTTTTGCGACAGGCTGAATACAATTCTTAAAACACACACTCTATCGATCGTCAACGAGCTGGCCTAGATTGAACGTATTGTAGTCTACGATCCACGAGTTTGACGATGCCTGAAACCGTCACAAATATAATATTAACGCATGCGTGCGTCGATCGTGTGGTTTATTGTTTGACAATGAAACGATATGTAAATGCTTTGCCTAAAATATAACATTCATTGAAAATTATCCTCAGAAATACAAGGCCTACATTTGTCTTTAATTTAAAACTATCTTATGTTTCCACAATATTCAGTTCGTGTGGTGAATTAGAATATGCAAGCCTACACCAGACAAAAAAAAAAAAAGAAAAAAAAAAAAAAAACCTCATATTATATAGTCCCCTGAACGCAGTTAAAAAAAAAAAAAAAAAAAAAAAACACGGTTGGCTTATATGGCTTTTCTAGCTCCACTTGACCTAAACTAATATATGTACTTGTTCATTAACATAATTTACACAACATATATTCTGGGCAATATTTATAGTGAGTGACCCCTCCAGTGTATCCTAGAAGGTCGGTTTAAATAAATTAAGTAGTGATGCCTTTATCAGCGAAGTCTCTTTTGGAGTTGTTTTGCTGTCACAGGAATTGAACCCATGACCCTAGGATTAGAAGGTAAACATTTTAACCACTAAGCTATTCAACTCCTTAACGATGATTTTTTAATTGTTATTTCATGTTGATGTAAAGAGAGTGTAGACCTAGGATAGAAGCATAACCTAATGCAACGTTATACACTGTGAAAAAAAAAGCGTGGAGTATTTAAACACAAAGGTCCACGCAATTTGTCCCACTTTTGGTGAGAAGTTTATAAGCGAAACGCGTTTAGGCTTGGCCAAATGTGTTTAGGTCCCTCAAGACGTGTTTAGCATAAACTTTGTTCAAGTATTTGACATAATATCAAATACCTAAACACATTAAATGCTAAACACGTTCAGCTTTTAAATGTGTCACGAAAAGAGCGGGACAAAATTGGGTTGAGCTTTGTGTTTAAATCACCCACACTCTATTTTTACATTTTACAGTCTTAACTTGCTAACGTTGCTGCAACGGAACACAATTAACACCTCCCTCCCGTGTCGCCCACAATTGGTTTTCATAGGCTATCCAATCATACTCACTCCCAAACACAGCATTATGTTTGTCTTCTAAAAGAAATGCTACATATTAATATTATATAAGACTAAATTAATTTCCAATAAATTTGTATAAATTCGCAGTTGACAAAATCCTTGAACCTGGTACCTAAATGAATAAATTATATAATAAAATAATGCACCATAAATATTATTGCAACAAAATAATAGAATAAAATCATTCAGCCAGACATAGTTTATGTAAGCATTATGTTTCTCTTGTAAAAGGGATTCTATAGACTTATTAATATTACATAAGACTAAATTAATTTCCAATAAATTTGTATAAATTCGCAGTTAACAAAATCCTTGAACCTTGTACCTAAATGAATAAATTATATAATAAAATAATGTACCATCAATATTGATGCAGCAAAATAATAGGTTATAAAAAAGATAAATTAACAATTTCGTTGTTACCTGCTAAATGGAGTCTTTTTCGGTGGCTAGGCAGGTGTACTTCGAGGTCGTGTAAACTGGTATCATTCACTTCTAAGTCTGTCGCTGCTCGTATGTTATCTATGTCACAGTTCATAAAGTTCACAAAATAGTAATCCAGCCCATTTTCCCGTAGCCATAGAAACACTTTGAAATGCTCCGACGGCTCAAACGTTTTAGCTGAATACAGAAAAGAATAAGAAAAAATAATAATTACAAATTGCCGGCAGTACGGTACAATTATAAGGGTTCGTTCACAAATATCCAACATTTTTTACAAGCGTGCAAACAAGTACGCTGCGGGAGAGGGGTAGACACATTTGTACATGTTTGCATAGGCCTATGCATGAAAATGCTTATTTATAATAATAGGCCTATGCAGTATTTAAAATAATAGATTTTTATGACCAATTATAATGCAATCATTTTTATGTAACCAAGTACAGAACATTCGTTGACTTCACAAAAAATGGAGAATGGTTTTGCAAAAGCAATAGTTTTTATGAACTTTCAGAGGGAAGGGAGGGGTACCGAATAGATACTGCTCGATTTGCCATCGTGATGAATTGTGATTAGGACGGCGCAGAGTAAGCGTACCCGGGGTAGAATGAATAGGAAATAATATACCGTAAATCATTCAATAAAATGTGAAACTAAAAATAAGTGAAAAAGACAAACATTTTATCTTTTCCATGTAAGAAAAGATGTAGCCGTGTCAGTCTGGTTGGCATATAAAATAAATAAATAAATAAATAAATAAAACACTGGTAGAATTATATGAACTAACTTAACTATTCTTGACACAGTCTATTCTGGCTTTTTCAAGATCCTAGATTCAATTATCCGCAATCACAAAAATGTCAGATTAGGCCTACATTTTAAATAAATATTGCCATCTTCTTCAGAAGCAAGTTAAATTAAGTAAACTTTATTTTAAGAGAGCTGCCTCAATATCTGAGGGGTAATATTAGCGGGATCATAGACCAGGTCCGTAGCGAGACTTAGGGCGCGGCAAGAATGATGAATGAAGACGGGAGGTACTAACAAGGAAAGGAAGAAACGAAGAATGGCGAGAATGACGCAATGAAGTTTAGTGAATGAGTGACGTAGGGAAGCGAGTCGTAATGGGTGATATGGGTTCTGGAATATTTTTGAAAGAAAAGGAATGATAAAGAATTTCTGCCTAGATTCAAATAAAATTATAGAACTAGGGAAGATGGCAATTAGTTAATGGAAGAAGCACAGTGTTCGGGATTTTTTTTTGCATATTTTTAAAATAATAAAGATAACATTTAGGGAGAGGCCGAAGACAGGAAAAGCATATTAATTCGAGTGTATGTTAGGATATGTGATAGATATATAGAGGAGGAAGAGCTGACATTCATTTAGCCGGTGCAGTCGTCTTAGTATCAAACCTTTCCTCTCTAGTTATTTGCAGGATATTTGTTGTTACAGTTCTTATATGACTCGATAAGATCGATGAACTAATACGACGAAACCCGTCCCAGCTAAATAAACTACTTTAATATATATATATATATCTGTCTCTTATACACATCTAGATGTGTATAAGAGACAGGTTATACACAATCCTTTGAAACACACACACACACACACCGCGAAAACCTCATACAATCTTTTGAATGGATGATGAATGATAAATGTATTGTAGAATTTACTAAGCATTCCAATAAAAAGTTATAATGAATAGAATACATTTTTGTGGTAAAAAAGAACGTGAAAACACACACAAGCATCTGAAAAATTACTGCAAACCCTATTCAAATCGCTCGGTATTGATTGTGTCATTGAGGATTAAAATTCACAATAAACAATTAAACCATTTAATTCTTCATGTTTAAGTTGTCTGGATGGGGTTTAGAAAGTTTCGGTATATTTTTTTGTTTCTTTTGCAAAAAAAAAAAAAAAAAAAAAGTCCTTAGCTTATTCCTACTCCAAAATTTGAAATAAAATAAAATAATTATATTATTAATTATATAATGTTAATGTAAAATAATATCGCAATATTAAGTAATAGGCCTATCAATATAAACAACAACAATTTTAAGTTTAAAATAACGTAAGAAAAAAAAGACATTAACAAAATTGAACTGTTGTATTATAAATCTGGTTAAACATTAGATTATCGGACAAACGTTGTAATTTCATGGAAAGGTCATAATCGAACTATTCATAGCTTATTGCGGTACTGATACTACAGCACACACATTATAAAATCACCAGGATTATTAGGTTGAGTGGAGATCATTACGGTAACTAAATGTGTAATTAAACGGGTTTAACTCAAGCAGTATAGGCGGAGAAGACTGACCTTAATAGCGTGTGGCAATATGTATTACTGACGCATTGCAAACGCGAATAATCAACAAAATGAATTGAAATCATCTAAACGCATTCTGGTTCAAGAACAATGCCGTACTGTCCAAAACCCCATAGGGTAAACACGGTTAGGGTTGCTGGTGGTGCAATGTGGAGGTGTAGACGCTGGTTTTTTATTATTATTATTATTTTCATCGTCATCATCATCATCATCATCATCATCATCGTCATCATCATCATCATCATTATTATTATTATTATTATTATTATTATCATCATCATCATCATCATCATCATCATCATTATTATTATTATTGTTATTATTATTACTTTGTTTTAAATATTGTTATCGTTATAATATTATTTTCATTAATAAGAATTATTAGGGCCTATCATTAATATTATTTTTCAGAAAGATAATTAGTTATAAATACCTTCAGATTCATATTACTTACGTATATTTAATAAAATCATGATCATATTCATCATCCTCGTTATATTATTTATCTCTATAATGTAGTTCTATGCATAATAGCACAAGCACACTTTCCTCTGGTTTTTGTCTAAAACGGACACAGCAGGGGAGAAAATCATTTATTATTTCGATTTTCTTTATTTATTAAAAGGGCCCCTGATTACTAGTAAAGTTGGAAGAGTCGCGCCGCCCTCTATAAATATAGTAGTTAAAACATAGTATTATCATATGTTATATGAAACCTTGTTCATTACAACAGTTATGTGTAATTTGTATTAAATATTTCATCAGCAAATAATGTCGTCAGTTGGGTGATATGTATTGATTTGCACTAATAATCAGACGATCAGGCATCGCTGGCACCTTCTTTCTCTAGAGTGTTGGCACCGCATCCTTAACGTACTATAGAATCAATAGTACTCATGATACGGGTTGTCATAAGGTCCGCGGCAATGGATTACGACCTGAAGGCCTATTTACTGTACTAAGTGTACTTGCGTATGTCTACTACCTGTACCTGTACTGAACGATAGTACATTCTCACTGCGGGTACATGTAATGAGGCTACGCGCTGTGCCACAACCAATCAAGAGTGGACAGCCCGGTATGTTTATGAACGTGGACATCATGATGTAGGCACGTAAGACAATCATATCATTTGGCTCCATATCTCTGCGTCCTGGAGCTGAGTAATTGATATAGAGAACTATATCTAATGAATATCGTAATTTAATCGATATACGAAAGAAAAGTATTGTGGTCGGAAGTAGGTACACATTGTTAGGAAAATTATATATAGACTAATTGATATAAATAATAGAAAGCATAAACGTTTGAACGAGATAATTTAAATGGTCGCCTATATGGCATTTATATTATCTATTTATCCACAAGAATGGATTCACGTTCCAGTATACTTACTGCCTGACAACGCCTAGAGAGGGAGGTAGATTAGACGTATTAACATGTTTTTACGCCAAGTTGGCCCTACTAGGACCTCCGTCTGATCTGGTATACACCGTAGGCAATAAACCTATTATCGTTTATGTCAGCACAAACATTTATTTCTATTTCGTTATTTCCTTTGACCAATATCCAAATTCATATCATTATTGCATTCAAAAATATTATTCACTGTCAATATTTTTACGTCAAACTAGAGTCGATAAACATAATGACATAACTGCACATAATGTGGGGAATCCCCGAGTCTGATTACCCAGGCTACTCAGCGTAATTAGTGATACACGCACCAATAGACAGCTAAAGATGATGGATATTAAATTTTAATATGACATATGAACGAATCAAATACATGTCGTAACAATAACATTTGAAAAAAAAAATTTAAAAAGTTGCTGAAACAAGTGGATAACTGCACATACATGAATAAATAATAATAATTGTAGCTAAATTAATCGATAAAATTGGTTACAAACACCTATAAAATTTGACTTCACCCGTTATATTATTAAAGTATATTAATAATATTTTACTAATAATTTTGCTCTTAATTAAGCTCTTGCTGCAAATGAGTGATTTTATGTTTATATTTATATTTTTTATGTAAATAAAATAAACCCAAATTATAATTATTTGTAAGTCTGCTATGCTTGTACTGTAATTGTATTTGCCTTTTTGTAAGACTGTGTGTTATCCCCAGTTAGTAAAAAAAACTCTAATATGAGATAGTTTTCAGATAAATTTACCATGCTATGAAATAAAGCAGTCTTTGGCAACGATAAGCAACTTTCATTACCCTATGCGTAACTCCAGTGGCCGACGTTTTCGTTGTCGTCCTTATCAATGTGATTGTTAATGTTAAGGGCTGTCCAGACTATAGCCTAAGTTTTATGTGACAATAACATGTGACATGCCTAAATATAGTCATGAGGACAACACATCACGACCATGCACATCACATCATGACTAGGCCTATATATGGGCACAGTTTTTTGTCGAAGAAAATTTGATAATAAGTAGTCCTAGGCCTATGGATGAAGCTTTAGTACTTTAGGCCTATACAAAAATATAAAAAAGCGTGGATCTTTATCTTTTCACACTGCCTTTCGAGCTCTGTTAAATTTAATACTGCTAATGAAGCGTAATATAAGTATACGCTACATTGATACACATAAAGTATGAAATTACAGTGTTTTGGATCTGAAAATTTAACGTGTGTTTTATCACAAATCAGATATAAATCATGGTGGAAACACACGCCTAATATCCGGCGTGCAGTGAAATTTATAAATATAATGAGCCTTAGAAATCTAAATTGCATATTCGTAATTGAACTCTTGACATACGCAAACATCGTTTGGATAACTTTCATTCAGATATAAATTAACAATGAAAGCCTAGA